AATATGTAAGGTGTGTCCAAAGGTAAAAGGAATATAGTGCATCAGTCACAGTCACATATGTAGCCAGTAGAGCGTGCGGAAGGGGCTAGTCCATAACAATTACTGACCTTTCTACTGCGCTGTTTTCCTCGCCTATTGTCTTTCTACACTTGGGGTTTCAATATACTGCTTTTGTGACTCGAGCAATCAGGCAGAACTTGAGGCCCTCTGAGGCCGCGTGGGTCCCAATCACAATGCATTGAACCCATGTGACCGTGTTCGATCACTTTCTGTCACTCCGAGTATAGAACATAGGTGTAGGGCATTATCTAGATGAAAGGACAACTGATCACAGTTATACAGGCCTATTGTTACAAACTAGCCCCTTTCACATGCTCTACAGGCTACATACATTGATGAAATTCTATATGCACTTATGAGCTTCGGCCTGACTACTATATGTCGAGGTATCAAGTGCCTAGTGTAATACAGCAACATTTATTTAAATCATAGGCATTTTACTAACTGAGCTAGAGAGCCATATATAATATATTACGTAATAAAAATATATAGAGTAAATATGCCGGAGGGGTTAATTGTTAGGAATAGATTAGAGATTAAGTTAGTGGTTATGGTTAGTGATTAGTGTCAGGTTAGTGTTAGGGTTTTGCACTCCGAATACTCGAGAAATTATCCAAAGAAAGCCCAGTAGATTTGTTATTGTAGGAAGGTCTCTACATCACTAAGATACCCCCAAATGAATGAGATCTATACATTACGAGCCTACACATTGTCATTTTTGCTTGGGAAAACACATCGCATAGAGACTATCTATATTAATTGTTTAGCATAATTTATAAGCCCCAATAGCTTAGTGGTCTAATGCTTCACTTTTCCAGCTAAAGATTTCTGTAGCTATTTCTGTTCCACCCCAGGTTCAATTCCCCATTATGCTTGTTTTTTATTATGCAGCCAATTAAATTAGCTGTGAAAAAGTATTTTTTTGAATAAAACTTTGCACAGCTAGGAACACAAGGAACACAAGCCAAGTCTAGCTATAGCTACAACAAAAATATTTTTTAGCCACCACAGCCCAGGTGGTGGTGTTGAGATAAGATGCAATTGTGTTGACACATGGAGAGCATGCTTGCACATATTCACATGCGCTAGGCGATACATCTGCGCGTCATAAAATATCAAGTCATTCCTTTGTCTTGACTATGTCAATACTTGAAGAATAAGCTGTGTCTCGCACATACATGCCCATCCCTAATACAATGGAGGTTTACTGCTACACATGATGAAAAACTATAGGGTGTCAGAGCCCGAATGAGTATAGACTGTCCCACTCAAGGTCTTAAACACTCACCAAAAGAGTGTTTGACAATGATTATAGTGTGTGGCACCCTACACATCCTGAAATGGCAGGCGGGATTTGAATCTGTAGGCATTACAACTTGCTTACAGTAGAGTCCACTGTATGCTGTACTTTGTTGAGTGCTTGCATGCAGCTGACCCTTGCTATTTTTGCCATGCGAGTCTGAGCTAATGCGTATCACACCCACAAGCTCTCGACTCTTCTCGTATGGTGGTCGGAATGGTGCAAAAATCAGGTGCTTCAGAGTTTCGGGCTTACCAAAGAATTTGGCCCCGCGCCGTGTCTAAGAGATTTTTTGGCCGGTCTTCCCTTTCTCAGAGATTCTGACATAGTCAGCACACTTGCACACCTATTTGTATCGTATATAGCCACTCAAAGTATGAGGTAACCATACCCTGTTTCCTCAGAGATTTTGGCCAGAAAGTGCCCGTCAGAGATTTTCACCCAACTTTGGCCCGCCTGCCGCGGCGCCCGTCTTCGGCCTGATAGGCCGGCACTCTGTTCACTTGCACACACGTGTTTGTATCAAAGCACAGCTGTGTATTGAACGTGATATACTCAGGCGCAGGCAGTGGAGAGGGACATGACGGGGGTACGGGGGCATGGGTGCGCAACCGGGTCGTAAGCCAGTACTGTACTCCTAGAGTGGAGGTGAATGTGTGGGTGTTGAGCCTAAGGGGAGTGACGGAAGCAGGCAGGCTCCGTAGCTGTCATGCGTCATAGCAATTGTAGTGTAGGGGAAGGAGACAGGGCGTGAGACGTAGACAAGACAGAAACAGCGGAGACAAGTGGGGTGAATTAGGGATGGGGAATTAAAACACGGATGTATCCAATATGTACAGGTAGTACAAAAGGCCGCACATCTAGTATACCCTGAGGTCTAGGGTCAGAATGATAGCACACATAGTCTTACATCAGGCTTACATGATTGGAGGGTGCTTGCCAGTATGGTCCTTGGTATAACTCACAGAACTCGTGTATACTCATATATATAAGCGCGAGCTCCTGCCCAAAGTACGGGATGGAATCCACTCCTGGAACTCCGAGTGGAGTTTTCTCCGCCCATCGTAAGTCAGACTCCACCTCCTGTCGCATGCGCAAGTAACAAGCACGGCAAAGACCGGTATCTGAAGCAATCGAGGTAAGGAGAACGTCACGTGCAAATGTTGTCAACAAGATGGGCGTGTCCTTCTGAACGAGCTTCGGTGCAAAGGTGATGGAATAGGACAACTCCCAGGCATCCTTGCACTTATTCATAGTGCTGCAGGCAGCACTATGTTGAGGGTCAAAAGGCGTATCAAATGCACAGATAAAATGCAGGTGCTCAACCTTTTCCTTGAGTAGCTGTATACGTTGTAGATCTTGAGTGTTTGGTAAGATAGTAGCCAGATGAGGAGAGTACCGAACGCGGTACGGAGAACCACCATCATCTCCTAACCCTAACCCTAGCAAGAACAGCTAGCACCGGTACGTACTTGTTAGGTTGTGTGGCCCGTACATAGTAGAGCACGTACGAGTATGTTGTCGAAGCGTGGAGGCACAGGGAAAGCCCCAGTGGCTCAGTCCCAGGAGACGATGAGGATTACAAGGTCCAAGTCCACGTCACGGACATTAGATCCCCAGGAGACGCAGACTGGAAGGGCTGGAACTCCCAGCCAAAGAGCTAGAGTAGCAGCAGCAGTAGCTAGAACTTCAAATGATACGGCCCGAAAGAATCATAATCCTACTGAACCGATTAATACTACTGACCAAACACAGCATCCGCGAGGACACTCACCGACTAAGGCACCCACAACCGGCACACAGACGACACTTCACGGTCACTTCTCGCGGAACCCGTCGGTTGCCAGCATCCGCCAGACGGCCGATTTCCCCACGGGTACTAGTCAGCCTGCGGGTGAAGGACAAGAACGGGAGGTGCCACAGGCCGGGCTGGAGAATGCGGGGACGGAAGCGGAGAAGTTGGACCACGCGCAGTTGTTAAAAGACGCGGGACGCGCCACCGCTGAGGACCTTGCATCCGTGCAAGGCCTGGTTACGGTGCTGGAAGCCATCGCAAGCGAGTTGGTGGATAAGGGAGAATTCCAGGCGCAGCTTTTCGCTGTTGGGGAGTTGATCAAGGAAAGGTCCAGAGCTACACCATCGACCCAGGCATTGTCGGCAGTCGAGGAGACGGTGAAGGATTTTCTGGAGGGACATGCGAAGGAAATGAACCGGCAGTTTGGCATGGTGCACGACAAGATTAAGGAGTTGGACGAGCGGACGAAGACCAGCAGCGCTCAAGCAGAGATAGATCCCAAGGCGTACACGGACATGCTGATGGCTCCCGCACAACCCGCGCCACCCGCACACCCACCGCCTGCAACTACAATGCAAGAGGCAAGAGCGCGCAGCAATGAGGCTGTAGAAACACGGAAGGTCACCTACAATGCTGCACCAGGTCCTGTACCAGCCCACAAGGTCAAACTACCACGCCGCATCCACCTCTACGAGTTCAAGGAGCATTATATCAACGCGATCAAAGATGGAAAACTGGAGGAGATGGCGAACATGAAGCTGACAGTCAAGTTCGTGTACGCGGCGCGCGGAGGAGGCGTCAAGGTGGAGATGACCACGGGAGAGGCAGCCGAATGGCTACGATCGGAGATAGGAGTGAAGGCGCTCGAGAGGGAGATAGTGCTTCACCTGCTAACGAAGGAACAGCTGTACAACACGATGGTCCAATTCGTACCGCTCACCTTCAAACCAGCCGACGCAGACTCGCTACGCGAGATGGAGCAAGCGAACGGGCTACCGGAGAGGAGCATAGCTCGAGCCCAGTGGATCAAGCCTGTCGAGCGCAGAAAGAACACCCAGATGTGTGCACACCTGATGATCTCGTATCGGGCGCCCGAGCCAGCCAACCAAAGCATACACGATGGGCTTCAAATCTGTAACAAACGGCTGGAAGTGCATCGGCAGCGGTGGGAAGCTAGACAGTGCGGCAAGTGCCAATCATTTGACCACCTAGTTGACGCATGCACCTCGCCCGTCAACGTCTGCAGCACTTGCGGCGACGATCACTACTCAAAGGACTGCCCTCGCATCGGGAAACTGTGTGTCTCCTGCAAAGACGACGGCCACTGTAGCTGGGATCATGACTGCCCTGAGTTCCGTCGCCGCTGCGAAGACTATGACCGGCGCCACCCTGAGAACTGCAGGGTGTACTTCCCAACGAACGAAGCCTGGACGTATGAAGCTACAATAGAGCCTGGCACCTTCTTGAACGACCACAAGCGTCACAGGAAAGCATCTTATGGGCATCTGGCGGGCCCGCGTCGCCCCACACGAAACCTAGGTGACGCACCTACCCGGACTGTACCCGAAGGAACTTCTCAGACTGCACGCCGGCGCTTATCTACGAGCTCGCTAAGCAAGTCCCTGGAAGCTAACGGACCACTGCCCCCGACAAACTCGGATGAATAAGTCTGCTCGAGGAACAGGACAACTGGGACAGGCCTACATACACATCTGGCAACAGAACTTGAAGAAGTCGGAGTCTGCGCAGTAACACGTACTCAACTCGCCTCTTACAGAACATTACGATCTGATAGTCCTCCAAGAACCGTACTCAGACAAGATGAGCAACACTCGGGCAACACCAAAGTTCAATGTCATCTACCCATCGGCACACTATGACGGGACAGATAAGATAGATTGCTCGGTTATCTTGGTCAACAAGCGCCTAAACACGAACTTCTATGAGATCATTGACTTCCCTGGGCGAGATGTGACAGCACTGCAACTGCGCACGTCAGTAGGACTCATATCTATCTTCAACATCTACAACGAACAACGACTGCTACAACTCATCGACGCTAACTGCTCTCTCACACTTCCTTCGGACGCATTGTAACCGGATTTTCCCCGATGACTCATCACACCTACTTCTCCTTGGCAACTTTAACCGCCATCACCCCTCCTGGGACAACCCGAATGACACACACCTGTTCACTGCTGCTGCAGAACGAGCGGCGGCCCCCTTGCTTCAACTCCTAGACGATTACAACATGAGAATGGCCTTGCCCCCAGGAATACCAACCCTCCAACACTCAGTGTCAAAACGATGGTCACGACCGGATAATGTCTGGTGCTCGGACAGTTTGCTTGATTTGGTCCTAGAATGTGATACACTGCCAGCGCTCCGGAGTCCCACCTCTGATTATCTCCCGATCATCACCACAATCGCCGCAGACGCCACCCGTATCACGCTTACTCCTACACGCAACACCCGCCTTGCAGACTGGGAAGAGTTCAATGACTACCTCCGAAACGAGCTAGAGAGACTTCCCGCACCTGGACCGCTTACATCTAAAGAGGAACTCGAAGCGGCAGCTAGCGCGCTCACAAAGGCGGTACAGGCGGCCATTGCAGCGAAGATCCCTCTATCTTCGATCAAACCCGAACTGAAACGCTGGTGGACCCGCGAACTCACCGAGCTCAAGAAACGAGTTGCAGTCCTCAACAAAGTGTCGCATCAGTGGCATGGACTGCCTGACCACCCGGTACACGCAGCATGCCGGCGATTGAGGCGGGAGTACCGGAATGCCATCCTGACGGCCAAACGGACCCACTGGGAGGATTGGCTAGAACATGTGGGAGAGCGGGATGTGTGGACGGCGAATCGCTACACAGTGTCAACTGGATCAGACGGAGGCTCGACACGGCTACCCACCCTCACTCATATGGATGAAAGTGGCAACAAGGTCAAGGTGTCGACTAACGAGAACAAGAGCGAACTCCTCGCACGCTTTTCTTCCCGCCCCTGCCAGCAGAGAGTGGTGTACCAGCTAACCCGGAGTACCTGCCTCCCGCCGAGCAGCTCGCGCCCATTACGGAGGAGCTCATACACCGGCATATCAGTGCTCTTAGCCCCTACAAGGTGCCCGGCCCGGACGGAATCCAGAACATCATGCTGATGCGCAGTGCTGATCTGCTCATTCCTTATCTTCTATGGATCTATCGTGCTATCCTCGACCTGAAGACATACTATGATGCCTGGCACGAGTTCTTGACAGTGGTCTTACGCAAACCTGGCAAACCCAACTACATGGTTCCAAAGGCTTACTGACCAATTGCGCTGATATGCACTATGGCTAAGGTCCTCTCGGCCATCATCGCCGAACAGGTCACGTACATGGCGGAAAGATACCAGCTTCTCCCGCCAATGCAGTTCAGAGGGTGCCTGGGATGCACAACGACCGATCCCATGCATTCCCTGATTGACTGAGTTATGACGGTGTGGCAGGAGAAGAAGGTCGTATCAGTGTTATTCCTGGACATCAAAGGCGCCTTCCCCAACGCGGTCCCGGAAGTCCTCATCCATGACATGCGGATGAGACGGATACCCAAGGCGATCACCGATTTCATCTGGCAGCTACTTCAGGGGCGACGCACACGTTTGCACTTTGACGATTTTGAATCGGACTGGTTCGACGTCGAGAACGGCATCCCACAGGGCGATCCTCTTTCACTGATCATGTACCTGTTCAATGGAGGTGATCTGCTCGAGGTATCTGCTAAGTACCCAGACGAAGATGCAGGCGGCTTCGTAGACGACACGTACCTCCTGGCCATAGGCGACACAATCGACGAAACCACTCAGCACCTTGCGGAGATGTACAACTGCGATGGCAGGGCGCATGACTGGGCGCGATCTCACCACTTGAAGTTTGAGGCCTCTAAGTTCCACCTTATGCATATGACACGGCGAATGATTCGTGGCGACGATGGGATACGTCGTCTCCTAGCGCTTGTCGGACCATCCTTGACTCTTGGCGGCCACACATTGAACCCGGAGGCGACTCAACTCTTCCTAGGTGTACTCTTCAACTTTACCCTACGGTTCAAAGAGCAAGCCACCCGTGCCGCAGCACGGGGGAAGTCGTACACTACGCAGGTACGCCGTCTATCTAGGACACACTACGGCCTGCAGCCACGTTACAATCGCCGCATCTACGGGGCGGTGGTGACAAAGAAGATGCTCTATGCGATAGATGTGTGGTGCCTGCCACTCCCACACAATGTCCCGTGTGCCAACCCGTCCTTACATAGATGAATAGGAGCGGAAGGAACAGTCAATGCTCTGGCGCGCGTTCAACACCAGGCAGTGCTCATAATCACGGGAGGACTGCAGTCGTCGCCTACTGACTTCTTAGACATACACGCCAACTTGCTACCAATGCGCCTACTGATAGCACTGGAGTGCCACCGAGCAGTTGTCTGCATCGCGGCTCTTCCAGAAACGCACCCGTTGCACCAGGTCGCATGTTGCAGTGCGCGTCGGCTACCAGCCACGTTCTACACGCCGCTGCAATACCTCTTCGCCATGTTCCCGGAGCTGCACCCGGATAGGGTCGAGACAATCCAGCCGTGCCGAGTCAACCCTGGATATGCAGACTACCCCTTCACGACGCATATAGCGGAGTCGCGCGAGGAGTCGCAGCGGGAGGACCGAGAGTTAGATACCGACATCCGGGTGTACTCGGACGGGTCGGGATTGGACGGACAGGCAGGGGCGGCTGCTGTCCTTGTTTGGTTCGATGGTGTGCGGGACACGCGGCGCACTCTGTGCTACCACCTCGGGCCGCTCACACAGCACACGGTTTATGAAGCCGAAGCGATAGGTATAGTCCTTGGTGCCCACCTCATACTGACCGAGACTGTAGACCCTTCACGCCCATCGTCCATCAGCCTTGACAACCAACCGGTCATACGCACGACGAGGCAGGTTCACCGGGCTCAGCCCGGACACTACCTATTGGATGAATTCCGCGAGTTGGCTGGGGCATTGCGACAATCGCGGGACGAGGCGTACAGCCTACTCACGCAGTGGGTGTCCGGGCACGACGACTTGGAACTCAACGAGTACACGGACTCTGAGGCGAAACGGGCGGCGAAAGGGGAGTCGAGCAAGGCGGCTGAGCTGCCGCTCATGCTGCGCGAATCTCCGCCGGAGACTCTACTGGCGAGTGTGGCGGCACTGCGGCAGGAGTACAGGCCGTGCTTGCACAAGCGGTGGGTGAAGGACTGGCAAGTCTCGCCGCGATACGAACGTCTTCAATACGTCGCACCGACAGCTCCAGCCCCGACACTACTGCGTTCCACCGGGGAACTCTCCCACCTCTCGAGCTCTCTCCTGTTCCAACTAGGAACCGGCCACGTACCGCTCAACGCGCACCTTCGACGAGTCGGGGCGGCGCGTTTGCCGACTTGTCTGGCCTGCTTCGCCGCTGACGAGATGGTGGATCACTTCATCTTCGATTGCCCGGCTTACGAATGACAGAGAGAGGAGCTCCGCAAGGCGGCAGGCGAAGAATGGGAAGTGGAAGGACATGTGCTGGGGGAGGAGAGAATGGCGAGGCGACTGATGAAGTTCGTACAGGCTACGGGACTATTTAGCAAGGAGAGGAGTGTGACAACGTGGGACGGGGGATTTGTGGAAGAAGTGGAACGGGACCTCGAAGCAGAAGGCGAAGATGGAGAGATGGAGTGCGGGACATGGACACGGAGGCGGGCGAGCCATACATTACCGCTGTCAACTTTTGTGCATAAGGTAGAGGCGGATGCCGCCCGGCATTGTTGAGAACGGAGAAGCGGATCCGCGCGGAGTCCAGCCCTAAGGCTGGCTGAAGAGCAGCTGTAAACCAGGTGCCGGAGGTAGTGGCCGAAGGTTGTCGGAAGGGTTTAAAACGTACTGTGTCTGTCCATATATGGTAACTGTATACGTACTAGGCTATATAGCAGTAGTATAAATAGGTTTCTAGCCTGTTTTTATATATTTTCCGGCAGGTTCGGCATGCCGGAGCTGTGCCGAACCTGCCAGAATAGGCAGCTTGGCCTTCGTTTGGCCTGCCGTAGATACCCTTTCGGCATGCCATAGATGCCGCCATTGCAGGGGTCGGCACCCTCGGCAGCCACTAGTAGGGCTATCGGCATGCCGAATCATGATATACCGGCAGGTT